ACAGGGTCCCTTATATTTCCACCTTCAACCTAATTCATTCATTATAAGATCGAAAACCAATGAAAACTTTCAACATTTTCTCTACCCTATGGAAAGTTTTTTTACTTTTCTTACCTATTATACTATGAGGGACAGATTATACTCAATTGCTTATTCCCAATCCATATTAAAATACAGAAGGGCACATCAGATTAAGTTTTCTTGCAAAATCGCATTTATAACAAGGTGCTACAGTTTACCTTGATCTGCTGACATTAACAATCTGTCAGAAGTATAGGTCGCTCAACGAAAGTTGAGGCTAACACTACTCACATTGATGTAATATTGTCAGCCGTTTGGTGTAGTTGTTCAGAACGGACTACTATGCCGAGAGGTCCCGGGTTCGATTCCCGACCGGGCAGAAATTGAAATGATGAATTTTAATTTCTGTGACGGGTCTGGGTGTTTTCTATGTATGATATGTATGTATTTACAAATCAAAAGTATTTAAGTATGTTTATATCCGTTATCTAGTGCCCATAGTACAAGCTTTGCTTAGTTTGGGACTAGCAGCGCAGTGTAAAATGTCCAAGGATATTTATTTTATTTTATTTATTTTTATTATATTTGAATACAGAACAAGAACAAGACATTACATATTCGATTATATCAAATACATTAGTTATCTCGCATGTCTGCAAGCGAGACAGAATGTACTTGTCAGTGTCACTACGGAACACGAGCGTATACAGATACAAATCTTTGCTAAAGCCTGGTCCGTGAGCGCGCTCGCACACTCACTGCGGGTGCCAGTCGCACAGTCGCGACAGCAATATAATTACGCGCGAGCGATAAGGATGGGTAGCTTGGGGTCATTGGACAAAATTCTACGTGCTCACGGACCAGGCTTTAGTGTTGATAGCCTCAACTCTTGTTGAGCGACCTATAAGCGTTTACGGAAGAATTGTTTTGGTTGTTGCTTACTTGTCCCTCTCAGTCGCACTCCCTGTATTTTTCAAGTCTTCTCTCTTTCATTCTTACTTTCAAACTTACTTTACACAACGACCACGATACATTTTGAGCCTTTTGCTTTTGAAATAAAGATGAAATCAGCTAAAAAATATTCATAAACAATCATACGAGACATAATTTACTTGTACTGACTTAAATAAACAAATGCTAATAACAGATAACTTAGACGATGCTGAGTTGGTCCTTTATCAGTTTGGCCTCTTCGATCAGCGTTGATATTTGGGTGGTCCTGTAAAGAAGAACAAAATAGTGTTATGCTGGTTGAGAAATCTATTAAAATCCACGTAAATCAAAGTAGTAAAAAATACAGGCAAACTCTGACTCACACAATCGGAAGCGATTTCTAAATATTAAATCATTTTTCTGCACAAATTAATTTTCTGCCATTTTTCAACACCTTAGAAACCATCGTCTTCAAAATAAAAAATCAAAATCAAAATTATCTTTATTTGTTTAGACTAATTAAATTGGTACTTGCAAATCGTCAAATGCTCTCAAGGAGACTATACATGTCTCATTCTTTTTTTTCTGTATGAACTTGACACAGTTCCATCCTTATAATTACAGTAAGTACGTTTTATTACAGTGTGCCGTTTTATCGTATGAGTTTCTCTTCGGCGATGGTGTATGTTTGTTGTTGTCGGCCGTTTGGTGTAGTGGTTCAGAACGGACTACTATGCCGAGAGGTCCCGGGTTCGATTCCCGGCCGGGCAGAAATTGAAATGATGAATTTTAATTTATGTGACGGGTCTGGGTGTTTTCTATGTATAATATGTACTTATGTATTTACAAAAAAAAAAGTATTTAAGTATGTTTATCCCGTCGTCTAGTACCCATAGTACAAGCTTTGCTTAGTTTGGGACTAGAGGCGCACTGTAAAATGTCCAAGTATATTTATTTATTTATGTAGTTCGCACATACGACTGCATTTCTGTTTCCTTTTGAAGGAACGAAACCATAAAAAAATTGTACTCACTGCTGGCGGAGGATGGAGGAGATGGCATCGCTGTGGGATTTGCCGAGGGCTATGTCCTTCTTCTTGTACTCGTCCCTCCATTTCTGGAGCTGGAAATCAAATGTATAGTATTAAACAATTTGACTAATTGCATCCATAAAAACATAATAATCTCTTCACAGTGTTCATAATCTTCATCGTGCACTACTACAAAAGAAATCAGACTGGAGTCACTTAAAAATTAGGGATTGATGGTGAAAACGGGCATAAGTCCACTAGTCTTTATACCACAATATCGTAGCAAGCCACTGCGTCTTGTAGTACCCTCCTGCCGCTGTGAGACCTTGTCTACTCGTCCAGTAGTACCCTCCTGCCGCTGTGAGACCTTGTCTACTCGTCCAGTAGTACCCTCCTGCCGCTGTGAGACCTTGTCTACTCGTCCAGTAGTACCCTCCTGCCGCTGTGAGACCTTGTCTACTCGTCCAGTAGTACCCTCCTGCCGCTGTGAGACCTTGTCTACTCGTCCAGTAGTACCCTCCTGCTGCAGTGAGACCTTGTCTACTCGTCCAGTAGTACACTCTTGCCAGCTGAGCCCAAGCTCCGCTGTAGTACACTCCTGCCAGCTCCGCTAGTACACTCCTGCCAGCTCCGCTGTAGTACACTCCTGCCAGCTCCGCTGTAGTACACTCCTGCCCACACACCTCGGCCGCCTTCCTGGCAGAGTGTGCACGGAGTTGCGCCACGTGATCTTGTAAGCGCGCGCCGAGGTGCCGGTGACGTTCTAGCTCCGTCAGTAGTACACTCCTGCCAGCTCCGCTAGTACACTCCTGCCAGCTCCGCTAGTACACTCCTGCCCACATACCTCGGCCGCCTTCCTGGCAGAGTGTGAGCGGAGCTGTGCCACGTGTTCTTGTAGACGCGCGCCGAGGTGCCGGTGACGTTCTAGCTCCGTCAGTAGTACACTGTTGTGAATACTCGTGCAGTAGTACACTTCTGCCGCTGTGAGACCTTGACTAGTAGTACACTCCTGCAGCTCCGCTGTAGTACACTCTTGCCGCTGTGGATACTCGTCCAGCAGTACACTCTGCCACTGTGATTACTCGTCCAGTAGTAACACTTCTGCCGTTGTGAACGCGTGCAGTAGTACACTCCTGCCGTTGTGAGACCTTGTCTACTCGTCTAGTAGTACACTCCTGCCGCTGTGAACTCGTGCAGTAGTACACTTCTGCCGTTGTGAGACTTTGTCTACTCGTCTAGTAGTACATTCCTGCCACTGTGAGACCTTGACTAGTAGTACACTCGTGCAGCTCCGCTGTAGTACACTCTTCCCGCTGTGGATACTCTTCCAGTAGTACACTCCTACCACTGTGAATACTCGTGCAGTAGTACTCTCCTGCCGCTAAGCTGTAGATCCTGGCTACACAGGAGTTGCAGCGCTGGCAATAGTACCGTGCCACTGTTCGTACCTCGGCCGCCTTCCTAGCAGAGTGTGAGCGGAGCTGTGCCACGTGGTCCTGTAAGCGCGCGCCGAGGTGCCGGTGACGTTCTAGCTCCGTCAGTAGTTCCCGCTCCGCCGCGCTGGGGGCGCCGCTGTGGCGGAGCTTCCGCACCGCTGTGGATAACCTGAGAAGCGATGCAACATGTCATCAGACAGCTCTCTACAGGGTGGAAATGTTAAGTGATCTCACTCGATTATTTCTAAACTATAAGATATTAGCTGACCCGGCGAACTTTGTTCCGCCTTAATGGCAATAAATAAGCAGACTTTTTTTTTAATTTCGAACGGGATAAAAAGTATCCTATGTCCTTCTCCTGGCTCTAAACTACCTCCCTGACAATTTTCAGCTAAATCGGTTCAGCCGTTCTAGAGCCGTATAAGCGAAGTAATTAACACGACTTTCTTTTATATATTATATAGATTTAAAAACTGGTTACTAATGCTGAAAGTGCTTCATGAGCTTTTCAAACGGTACCAACAATAGGTTACAGAATAAAATGGATCTATCTGAAAATGCAATGTTTCCGGCTTCCATACTAAATGTATGCCAGACACACAATATTAGAAGTGTGACTTTTTTTTATTGAATAATAAACTTAAAATAAACTCGTAAATTGTATTCTTATTTTAAATTATTCATGGAAAATATTGGTTTTAGGCTTTACTTNCCTAATTCATTCATTATAAGATCGAAAACCAATGAAAACTTTTAACATTTTCTCTACCCTATGGAAAGTTTTTTTACTTTTCCTACCTATATACTATGAGGGACAGATTATACTCAATAGCTTATTCCCAATCCATATTAAAATACAGAAGGGCACATCAGATTAAGTTTTCTTGCAAAATCGCATTTATAACAAGGTGCTACAGTTTACCTTGATCTGCTGACATTGACAATCTGTCAGAAGTATAGGTCGCTCAACGAAAGTTGAGGCTAATAACACTACTCACATTGATGTAATATTGTCAGCCGTTTGGTGTAGTGGTTCAGAACGGACTACTATGCCGAGAGGTCCCGGGTTCGATTCCCGGCCGGGCAGAAATTGAAATGATGAATTTTAATTTCTGTGACGGGTCTGGGTGTTTTCTATGTATAATATGTATGTATTTACAAAGCAAAAGTATTTAAGTATGTTTATATCCGTTATCTAGTGCCCATAGTACAAGCTTTGCTTAGTTTGGAACTAGCAGCACAGTGTAAAATGTCCAAGGATATTTATTTTATTTTATTTATTTTTATTATATTTGAATACAGAACAAAAACAAGACATTACATATTCGATTCCAAATTATATCAAATATATTAGTTATCTCGCATGTCTGCAAGCGGGACAGAATGTACTTGTCAGTGTTTTTACGGAGCACGAGCGTATGCAGATACAAATCTTTGCTAGTGTTGATAGCCTCAACTCTTATTGAGCGACCTATAAGCGTTTACGGAAGAATGAACTTCATTGTTTTTGCTTACTTGTCCCTCTCAGTCGCACTCCCTGTATTTTTCAAGTCTTCTCTCTTTCATTCTTACTTCCAAACTTACTTTTAAACGACCACGATACATTTTGAGCCTTCTGCTTTTGAAATAAAGATGAAATCAGCTGAAAAATATTCATAAACAATCATACGAGACATAATTTACTTGTACTGACTTAAATAAAAGGTAATATAAACAAATGCTAATAACAAATAACTTAGACGATGCTGAGTTGGTCCTTTATCAGTTTGGCTTCTTCGATCAGCGTTGATATTTGGGTGGTCCTGTAAACAATAATAAAATTAGTGTTATGAAGGTTATAAAATAAAAAAAACGTAGTATACTATTTACATTTTTCCACATACATTTCTTAACTTCCACTTTTCCACATTTATTGACACTTAGAAAGTATCATCTTCACTCCACCCAACGTTCTTCAATTTAAAATGAACTTTTAATGAAGTAAACAAATTAAATAACCTTGAGCCAGTACATTTTTAAACACCATAACACTGCAGATTTTCGTCAGCGCTTATGGGATCTCAGTTATGGGAGCGGCACGGGTATTTTTGTCAATCTTCATAGAATTTCGCTAGCGAGCCACACCTAACGTAAACTAATAGTACTCGTAAGCACATAGAACCCTAAAAAGTAACATAAAATGGTACTCACTGCTGGCGGAGGATTGAGGAGATGGCATCGCTGTGGGATTTGCCGAGGGCTATGTCTTTCTTCTTGTACTCGTCCCTCCATTTCTGGAGCTGGAAATAAACGATTCAATATTAGAAAATGGCATACTTAACTATTCAAAAAGCACAATCTCTTCACAATGTTTATAATATTCATGGTGCACAAAAAGACTAAAAAAGACATGGGACAGAGTCATTAAGTCTTAGAACACGTCCTTTGCTGGACAAAGGCCTCCCCTAAGGATTTCCACAAAGACCGGTTTTGCGCCGCCCGCATCTAGGCACCTCCCGCGATCCTCACCAGATCGTCGGTCCACCTAGTGGGAGACCTGCATTACGTCTTTCTTTTCTGCCCCGGCAGCCATCAGCTCTACGAGCTATGTGTCCTGCCCACTGCCACGTTCTAACTCTGTCAGTAGTACACTCGTACAATAGTACACTTCTGCCGCTGCACTGTGGACACTCATGCAGTAGTACAGTCCTGCCGCAGCAGGAAGGCGCTGGGATGCAGGTCGCTATCAACTGGGTGATATATCATTGGGGGAGGCCTATGTTCAGCGGTAGATGTCATGTGACTTGAAACGATGATGAACGATGATGAACAGCGGCAGAAGTGTACTCATCGTACACTTCTGCCGCTGTTCATTCCTGTCATTGGTTGTGTTTATATTGGCGGTCAAGCTGTAGATCCTGGCTGCACAGGAGTTGCAGCGGCGGGAACGAGAGGTGGGAATAGTTTTTTTATGCATAATAAGGCAGGTTGACCACAATTGCACCTGGTGTTAAGTGGGATGCAGTCTAGGATGGTACATATCTGCCCTGTACGTGTCTATTCACTCCCGTGCCACTGTTCATACCTCGGCCGCCTTCTTAGTAGAGTGCGCTCGGAGTTGCGCCACGTGATCTTGGAGACGCGCGCCGAGGTGCCGATGACGTTCTAGTTCCGTCAGTAGATACCGCTGTGGATACTCGTGCAGTAGTACACTTCTTCTTTTCGTGTCGACAATAAACCTACACAGTGTCAGCCAAAAACAAAACTTTGCCACAAGAGTGGCGTTGTCAGTAGCACTCATCAAATCCTCCTGAGTGCAGTTGCTTGGGCACTCAGGGCAAGACATCAGTGTGTCAGTAAAAAAATGACATTTAAATGTATGACATATTGTGCAGCGCCCCTAGCGGCTACTTTCAAGAAATAAAATCTACATAGAATTTTTTGACGTATTCGCTAGCGAGCTCACCTAACGTAAACTCATGGTAGGCACACAGGTGCTTCATCGACTTCAGTGACACACGGCACCCACTTTTCAATTACGACGCTGTGCCTCAAAGGCTAAAAAGCCGAAGCAATTACGTAAAAAGTGTGTCCCCTCTCCTTCATGACGATCGGTCAAAAGAGAGATGCAGGTTATGGCGCGAGGGAGCTGATCTCCCCTGCCCTTTTGTCCCTGTGTCTGAGAGTCTTCCACCTGGACATGAGCTCCCCTGGCTTACCTGGAAGTCTTTAAATAGACTTCGGACGCAGGTTGGCCGTAGTAAGGACAATCTGGTCAGGTGAGGATTCTTGGATGGCTTAAACATGGAGTGCAGGTGCGGTTTTTTGAGCGAGAGGTGGGAATAGTCCCGTGCCACTGTTCGTACCTCGGCCGCCTTCCTAGCAGAGTGTGCACGGAGCTGTGCCACGTGTTCTTGTAGACGCGCGCCGAGGTGCCGGTGACGTTCTAGCTCCGTCAGTAGTACACTCCTGCCAGCTCCGCTAGTACACTCCTGCCAGCTCCGCTAGTACACTCCTGCCCACATACCTCGGCCGCCTTCCTGGCGGAGTGCGCGCGGAGCTGTGCCACGTGTTCTTGTAGACGCGCGCCGAGGTGCCGGTGACGTTCTAGCTCCGTCAGTAGTTCCCGCTCCGCCGCGCTGGGGGCGCCGCTGTGGCGGAGCTTCCGCACTGCTGTGGATAACCTGGGAAGCAAGAATGCAACATGAAAAAACTCATAAAACTCATTTATTTTTGCAAGTAGGCTTTTAAAAAGCACTTTTACACGTCCCAATATTAACCCTACCACTGCTTCGGGACAATAAATGGGCCAGTGCTGAGAAGAAGCAGCGCAAGAAACTCAGTCACTATTCATGTGATCAGACAGTTCTCTATCCTACTAATATTATAAATGAGAAAGTTTGTATGGATGGATGTTTGTTACTCTTTCACGCAAAAACTACTGAACGGATTTTGATGAAACTTTAGAAAGAAAGAAACATTTATTACGATGAACATCACTTAGTTAGGGACAGATAATGTATAAAGAAAAAAATACAGAAATAGCACATAAATATTACAAGGAAATAAAAAATGAACTGAGCAGTGCTATCTTGTCGCAAAAGCGAAGCCCATCGCAATGGGACTCCACTCAGCATATATGCCACTCCACGGCATACCGTGGCCCACGGTGGGGAAGGCCACGATGCTGGTTTTCAGTGGGCCCAGGCTTTACAGGATTATTATTTATAACCCAGAAAACATATAGGCTATAAATGACGATCACGCGGGTGAAGCCGCGGGCAAAAGCTATAGCACTATGATTGCTAGTGAGACCATAGAATACCCAATAGTCTCAACAAACTTCGCAAACGTCTGAGTAATAAAACGCAATTCTGTAGTGACGCTGTATGGTTACCAATTTTCACGAAAGATTTTCATTTTACCTAATGCCATACACCGGCCGAACGTATCTAAGCTGTGAAATGACATCACTAGGTAGTATCACAGATTACACACAATACCGCGATGTAAAATGAAACAATGCCATCTCTTGTGGGCCGCCAGAACTAAACTTTTTTAGTTATTATTCAATCTACATATTTCAATAATTCCATTGTCTACGTACCTAATTTTCAAGTCCTCCTGGCGTTTTTCGGCCAACATGCACTTTTCCTTTAGCACTGTGGACTTCAGATTCACGTCGTCAATGTCTTTCTGTAAGGGAAACAAAAATTGGATCAGATTAGAATAGGCCACCCCTATGCTTCCCATGCAGTTTATAAGACGATTAAATGAGAAATAAGGGAGAAAAGTCGAACCTTAACTTCAAATTCCTCCTATGTCTTTTGATTAATTTCGTTGCGGATCCAATGACAGTTTACCTTTCCCTCGGGACAAACTTGACCTTCACTGGTTGGGTTTTTATTGGCGGTCAAGCTGTAGATACTGGCTACACAGGAGTTGCAGCGGTGGGAACGAGAGGTGGGAATAGCAGGACTATTCCCTAGGAAGAAATAATATTATGCTAACATCAGACCAGTTCTCACGATAGGCGAGAGCAGATTTACATTTGGCTTGCGCTAAATCTTCTGGTAAATTAGAGAGGATCGTCCTTTTGGAGTGGTCTCCACTCCAAAAGGACGATCCTCCTAACCTAACCTAACCTAATGATGAAAATGGTGATGATTTTATTTTATTTTATCGAGAAAACCAACAGCGTATTTACTTATACAATTTTAACATACAATATGGCCAATAACAGGTTTCCCTTAAATTATTACCAATAGTACTAGTACCTAAAGGTTGGACTGCCACCAATACCTATCCACACAACACTACCTAAACAATACACAACAAAACAAAGATCATCCCGATAGCCAACTCAATGTCCTGTTGAGATACAGGAAAGATATTATGTAGTTTACATCCTACTATTATTATGAATACGAAAAATATTACATACAGTACATATTCATTTATGATCACTTCCCACCACAGATATAGATAGATGCAGCATGTGAAAAAATTTGTATGAAGCCGAGCGTGCCACTTTTTAAACGTCATTAGTGTCATTTTAGCGAATTTTAGTGATTGCCGCAATGTACAAATAATCGTATCATCGTACTGCATTCGCAAAGTCATCGAAAGATATCGAATGACTCGATTCGACAATTAATTAATTCCGATAAAACTGATAATTTGTTAAATACAAAACCAAAAACATCTTTATTTATCTTTTTAAATAAATTAATTCTTACAAATCGTCAAATCTCGTTATTTTTTTTACCCTACCAGCGTTTCAAGACAAAAATTGGTCAAGTGCATGAATACATGGATCAGTGTGTGTTTTATTGTTATAAAAGTAAGTACGGTTCCTTGTGATCGGTATGAGTGCACCACATACACGGACCATGGTTTTAACTCTTAAGAGTACATCGCAGGATATGTATTAAAAACAATGCTACTTTATACTTCTTCTACTGCTACTTTATTCTAATGAATTATTTGTTACTTGTGCTGTTAATTACAATTCTCAATCCGTAAATAATTTCTTCTTTCTACCGTGTTCGTACTACTATCCTCGTAAAATCTAGCTCTTAACTACTAACCATGTGTACTTAAGTATCTACTAACAAAACTCGATTGTCAACTGTAGTATATACCTAATAAATAAATAAATAAAATCATCGTAACCGATTGTTGTAATCGGATTACATGAACATCACTCGACCATGTATGTCCATTTGGACATATCGGAATGGCACGCTTTGACGATCAACTTGCTGTATCTACTCTAATCCATATCTGTGCTTCCCACTCACCTTCAGATCTTCAGTCCAGCTCTCGTGCTGTGCGCTCAAGTTAGCAAGTGCCTTCATCTTCTTCACGATGACGTCATACGCGCGCTGTTGCTTCGCTATGTACTCGCCGCGGAGTTTCATTGTCACTTGGGTTAAGAACTGAAAAGGTATAATAATAATAATAAAATCATTTATTTGCAAGAACACGGTTACAGATTGGTGTTAATTTAATTAATTCCAGCATATTCTGTCGCATGCGACGTGCAAAAGTTCTTGTTCTTAAAGTTATGTTAATTATTATTGCTACATTTAGTCTTAGATTTTACATAAAATGTTTATACAACTCAAAATAATTATTTCACTCATAGTTGTTTTTCATATACCATGACAGTAACAAGTAACAATACAATAAATACATGTCAGGAAACAAAATTTCAATTGCAAATGTCAAATTAAGTTATAGTTCCAAAATACTGGACTGTCCTGTCGATGACATTGACAGTGGGGCGCCACCGTCTATAGCGGATCGCTGGTTCAGATTTTTGCCATGTTGGAAACCATATAGTTGAACGATGGTAGCGCCCCCCTGTCATTGAGTTTGGTGGGACAGTTCAGCGTGGGTCATCTATACATTACCGATTTCATATCATTCTATCATTTAAAAAGTCATTCACTGTATAATACATTTTAATTAACAAAAAGTCAAAAACTGCACTTTTAAATTTGGTAAAAGTTAACATTTTTACATTGTTTGGTAAATTATTAAATATTCGTATAGCCATACAATAACAGTTTTTAGAATACAGTGTCAATCTTTGAGGTGGGATTAATAAGTTGTCTGCCTTCCTACCTAAAAATGTCGGTAAAATGCATGCATCATATTATCTTTAATTCTTTAAGAGCCTATTGTCCGTTTTCACCATCAATCCCTAATTTAGAAGTGATCTATGAAAACAAAATTCCTGTTATGTTACCATAGGGGTCACTTAAAAATTAGGGATTGATGGTGAAAACGGGCATAAGGCTCCCCTAAGGCTTTCCATAACGACCGGTCCTACGCTGCCGGCATCCAGGTTCTTCCCGCGACCTTTACCAGATCGTCGGTCCACCTAGTAGGAGGCCTGCCCACGCTACGTCTTCCAGCCCGTGGTCGCCACTCGAGAACTTTCCTGCCCCAACGGCCATCGTCTCTACGAGCTATGTGCCCCGCCCACTGCCACTTGATATTAGCAATTCTGCGAGCTATGTCGGTCACTTTGGTTCTCCTGCGGATCTCCTCATTTCTGATGGGTACTTAGACCCAAAATGTAGGGCCGTAGCCAGAGTAACTTTTATAGGGCAGTAGTAATTTCCAGGAGGGTAGCAAAAAACGGCATCATCAAAAAATTTTGTAGGTTTAATAATCAAAATCAAAAATATTTATTCAGTTTAGACAACAAATGGCACTTATAAAGTATGGTTTACCTCCAAAGTTTCCTTCAAGGACGGCTCCTCAGATTTGTCCATATTCAGGACAGGTTGAGAGACGTTTTTGGCCAGAATCTCTTGGATTATCGCGGTGAACGTCATCTTTTGCCTCTAAAATTAGAAATAATATTATACTTTATTGCACACCACTCAAAAAGAAGAAAATGGCACAAGTCTAATGCTAGGTTGCACCATCTTACTTTAACTTTGACAAACGTCAAAAGTCTGTCAAACTCCATACAAAAATACCGGTTAACGTTATAGTTACGGTCAAAGTTAGATGGTGCAATAGGGATGATGACTGGGTAATGAAATCGAAATTCTATTTAGTCCGTCAGACAGATAATAAAAAAAAATTGGAGACATATTGTTTATTTTTTTTTATAATCATATAATTACAGTATTATATTGAGTTGAAATGTCGCGTGACGTCACATTTGAGTAAAAATTCTTGCTTGACGTATCGCGCCATTTCAACTCGATGTAGCACTGTTATTATTTAATTAAGAAAGAAAATAAAAAATATGAGTCTAATATTTTCTATCTGTATGACGGACAAATAATTGAAATTTTGTCATCTAGCCTGAGGATAGGTTACATCTTACTATAACAAACTCCATACAAAAACTAAGGTGGCGCAACTCAGCCTAAATTTTTTGAAGACTGGCATTTATAGCCTGACCAGGAACATAAAAACCCTCGCCATGTTGCGGAAAACTAATGGTACTAATTTCTTTTAATGGCAACAGTAACTGAAAACTTCATTGTCATGTCACCTTGCATGTCAGTCTATTGTTGTCAAAGTGTAAACAAACTTTATTTTAAATGTGTGCAATTGATTTTGTGAATTAAATTGCTAAAATATTTTTATAGTCGTGAAAGAAAAGTGGTTCACGGTGTGTTAATGTATTTGTCGAAGAGAAATACTAAGGGTTCGGACAATATTTTCATTGAATAATGTTTCCGACAAAGGTTGTCAAATTGACTGACATGTTTATCGTATAGTACAGTCCACTATGAAAATTAGCTGTAGTCTGTTTCAACTACCCATTTTAAAGCTTTTTGTTACTTTCTAAGTTTTGAATTTTATGGAATTGGGAAAGAAGTACCGAGTTTGAAGCGTTCATGAGCAGACATTGCAGTTGAATATTCAAGTTCTGAATTTGATTATTGATGAATAATAAAATAAATCCTACTAGCTCGATTGATGGTTTCATTTAATTTATTTAAACCAGGTTACCTTTAATAATATTTTTCGTTCATTTATGAAAATATCAAATTAGCCCGTAATCCTGAATCCTGATACATAAATTTAGCCTATTAATTTAACACATGTACGACTGTACTCAGTGTTGCACTATCAAATGCAATTGAAGCGCCTCTATGCCAGGGTTTTTATGTTCCTGGTCAGGCTATAGGTGTGTGTGTTGTGTGAGTGGTGTGTGTGGTGTGAGTGGTGTGTGTGTTGTGTGAGTGGTGAGTGTGTGTGTGTGTATGAGTGAGTTTTAGGTATAAAAGTTATAAAAATATTCGGTGAATGACAAGATGGCCGCGGATTAATCTCACGTGACAATAAGGATCGTTAAGATGGCCGCCGATTAGTTTCCCACCTGACGAACATCTGGCCGTCAGAACACAGCACATTGAGCAGCGGCAGCGGTGAAGTATTGAGCGTGAGGCCGCAAGGTGGACTGACGGCTCCGCGCGGGCCAATAGTGCAGACCAGATGCCGCGCCGAACTCGGCTTGGAGCATAGCGCGGAGAGAACTGTCTCGGATTCCTCTGTAATATAGAAATTCTTTATTTTTTTATTTATTTATTATTCATTATTGAGCAATTACATAATTGATCCAAATAGCGTCCTAAATGCTCTTTAGGTTTGTCTAGACACTATAGTTCTGTATACAAATAAAAACAAACGTTATTGTATTGGTTTCACATCACATCATACACAGGAAATAGCGAAGCGCGTAAGTGAAGGGTCCCTTTAGACTAAGAGCTGGTGAACGCCAGACCTACGTCATTTTATAAAAGCTGAAAGTTTGTCAGCGTATGCTCTCAATATAGGATAGAATGTAGGTGAATCATGAAGTTTGGGTCATCGTGGCTTTGGCAGTTATCCTAAAAAAACTGTCTGGCAAGGAGTTGGAATGGGGATGTTGCCTGGGTCAAAAAGCAAGAGTTTTAATTAGTCCGTCAGTTAACTTATCAAAAAATACATTACACGTATTTTTCACTTTTTCAATGAAAATTTAAAGAGATAAAGCGCCCCAAAGTTCATAAGAAGAGGCCCGTGACGTCAACGCTTGCTTAAAAATGCCGCACGTTGTGACGTCGTGCGCAACTTCAACGCACCATAACTATGTAATTATTTGTTAGATTGACAAATAAAAATATATGTGTCCAATATTTTTTGATATTAAACATTACGAACTAAAAAAATTTTTTTAGGCAACTAGCCTATTGTTAAAACTGTCTGGTCTGTCATGATTCACCAACATTATATCCTATTGGGAGCATAAACTGACAAAGGAGAACAACCACTTTCTATGAAGCGTTGGGCCCAGTACTAAGTTATTTGTACAGCTACAAATTTTATGTCGTTTTTATGCCTTCATAAACTAGTTTATTATTGTGTTTATTTGAGGTTGCTAACTAGTGTCATTCTCGAGAAAACTAAATTAGAAAAAACTAGAAAAAATGTTACTTTTATACAAAATCAAGTCGTCCCAAACCCAAATCGCAAGCAGAATCCGTTAGAAATAGCATAAAATGTTATTAATCGATAGTTTTATTTCTTCTTCTTCTTTTAATTCGTTTTAATTCAATTCAACAAGCATTCTCAACAGTCTCATCCTTTAGATCCTTTAGACATAACTAATCTGTGGTCTCATCTGTGATTCGCAAGTGACATTGCTGCATTGACAGATGACAAAACGAATTATTTTCATTCATTATTAATAAAACTTTGCAGTTTTATTGCTAATACTTCAGAATAACATAATATAGGCTATAATTTAGAATAATATTCAGTTATTCGGTCAAAAAGCAACGATAAGTGTCAAGAAATTAGGTCTTTCTATGATAAACTTAATTTCTCACGGGTGAAGTCACAGGCAAAAACTAGTACAATATTTTACATTTTTGCATTGTCACGAGTCACCTAAACTCTCCTCACCTCTCCACTTTCGTATCTCCTCGAAACAAGGACTCTTCGTCGAATTATTGTGGCAAATACCAGGGTGGGACAAAAATGACCCAGTGGCGCTTCTAGGTAAAACCGATTTTTAAAAATTTTCTATTAATGTCATATTATCAAAAACATTAAAAAATTATATAATTCAATAAATCAGTAAAAGTCAAAAAGTTTCATGGACTTTCGTTGAAAAATAAAAAAGTTAGAGACGATCAAACTCGCGAGTGGGACAAAAATGGGACGGCGGCCTTTCTAGTGTTAATGAATCATTTGGAAATTTCGATAAAAAAAATGAAATATGAACATTAATTTAGAACAAATTTTATATTATCTACCCACTAAACAAAATAATAACCACAAGCTAATTTGTAGTCCAATACATACTTTGCCAAACAATAATATGCCAAAAACGACATTTGCGAATTAATAGTTTGCAATAAGTTGTTTTGCGAAATGAGAATTTGCCAAATGAAAATTTGCGAAACGTTGTTTGCGATGTGATAATTTAAGAAACGTTTTTTGGCCAAACATTAGTAATCCGTATTTATCCATATTATTGAAAATCATGATGTCTATATTCGTATTAAATCGTATTTTAACATTAAATTAATTTGAAATGGTCCAAAACATGTTATAAAGTAAATTATTCTGAACAACAACATTATGAGTTGAAGTATGTTCTTAGTAACAACATTATTAATTAAAACAATATGATCAANGAATGGCACCCCCCTGTCTTGACATCACGACCGTCCTTGCCATGCAGATGCGTCAGTGAGTACTAATCTGCGCGTATTTGTCACCCCCTGATGCTTGGCACCCGGGGCGGACCGCCCCCACCGCCCCCCCCTTACGCCGCTACTGCTTACCATGTTAATTACTCACGACTAGGTAATTAACAAAGTAAAAAATTGTGGAATCCTTAATGTCTGGGATGTTGTTTATCGTTTTTTATAAACGATAATCAAAAATTCAACAATGACTTTTGTCCAGCTAGCTTGTTCTACACGAATCACAGTGCATCGTAAAAATCGCTAAATTTTCCACTATTTTTTTGTCTGGCAGATCTGTGGTCATTTTGAAAGAAAACAATATCGTCGATTTATCTTATTGTTATTAGGTAGGTACTTTGAATTCAATAAATAAGTAAGTACATGATGCGTTTTGTTTTTGTTAATTATAAAATAATTAAAAACGATTTAAAATTTCCCTACTTTCGGGAAATCGCCTTCACTGTCTACACTCCCCAGCAAAATTGACACTAATGACATAAGATTTATGCCTATCTCTAGACGNACATTATTCAATGAAAATATTGTCCGAACCCTTAGTATTTCTCTTCGACAAATACTTTAACACATTGTGAACCACTTTTCTTTCACGACTGTAAAAAGGTTTTAGCAATTTAATTCACAAAATCAATTGCGCACATATAAAATAAAGTTTGTTTACACTTTGACAGCAATAGACTGACATGTAAGGTGACATGTCAATGAAGTTTTCAGTTACTGTTGCCATTAAAAGAAATTAGTACCATTAGTTTTCCGCAACATGGCGAGGGTTTTTATGTTCCTGGTCAGGCTATAATAACTTTCGTATTCATAATAATAGTAGGATGTAAACTACATAATATCTTTCCTGTATCTCAACAGGACATTGAGTTGGCTATCGGGATGATCTTTGTTTTGTTGTGTATTGTTTAGGTAGTGTTGTGTGGATAGGTATTGGTGGCAGTCCAACCTTTAGGTACTAGTACTATTGGTAATAATTTAAGGGAAACCTGTTATTGGCCATATTGTATGTTAAAATTGTATAAGTAAATACGCTGTTGGTTTTCTCGATAAAATAAAATAAAATCATCACCATTTTCATCATTAGGTTAGTCTCCACTCCAAAAGGACGATCCTCTCTAATTTACCAGAAGATTCGGCGCAAACCAAATGTATGTCTGGTCTCGCCTATCGTGAGAACTGGTCTGATGTTAGCATAATATTATTTCTTCCTAGGGAATAGTCCTGCTATTCCCACCTCTCGTTCCCACCGCTGCAACTCCTGTGTAGCCAGGATCTACAGCTTGACCGCCAATAAAAACCCTACAGTGAAGGTCAAGTTTGTCCTGGGGGAAAGGTAAACTGTCATTGGACTCGCAACGAAATTAATCAGAAGAACATAGGAGGAATTCGAAGTTAAGGTTCGATTTTTCTCCCTTATTTCTCATTTAATCGTGTCTTATAAAATGCATTGAAAGCATGGGGGTAGCCTTTTCTAATCTGATCCAATTTTTGTTCCCGTTGCAGAAAGACATTGACGACGTGAATCTGAAGTCCACAGTGCTAAAGGAAAAGTGCATGTTGGCAGAAAAACGACAGGAGGACTTGAAAATTAGGTAAGTTGAAAATATAATATATGAAGTTTTTTTCGAGGATTCAATTACTACAACTAAAAGGTTTAAGTCTGGCGACGAACAAGAGATGGCGTTGTTTAATTTTACATCATGTATTTTTGTAATGAAACCACTTTCAAACTGTGATGCTTTAATATTTTAAACTTGCATATTGCATTTTTTATAAAATTCTCACTATTACGGGACTTGGTATCACACAACTTTGCGTTTGTAGCACTGTGTTGACATGTTGCGCAGGCGTTGATATCGTCCTCGAAATACGCTATAGTTAAGGTGTTCACACAAACCTTGAACGCATTGTGTGTGAAGTTTCGCCGTCTCCTTCAATCTACTTGACCTTTAGCGTATCCATGTTAATTTTTTATAATGTTTTAATGTTAATATTTTTTTTTGCATGCATAAATTATGCTACACATCTGTCTCCTTTTCAACTTTGACTGTACAACCTAGCTTTAGAAACTTTAAAGGCCAATGTATAACCCGCTTAATTTTAAGCTGCAGTGTCAAACAAGGCTATATGTTTCTTTAATAAAGATAAATAAATAAAATAAAAACCAATTAATTAAATACATTCTTTAGTTTTGAGAATTTATTGTACTTTAGACAATAATATTACATTGAAATTGGAGTTAACGTGCCGGCCGTCACAGTGAATGGAAGAGTGAACGCGCGCGCGGACCGAATGAAATTGTACTATAGTGATGTGTTAAGGTATTACATGGTGCCATAAGCGATCATAGTTTTGTTCCCCAGTCGACGAAGCACTTGATATCATGCCCTGCGTGCCCAAACAACTGCATGTATGAAACTTTAATGAAGGCTACTGACAACGCCACTCTTGTGGCGGAGTTTTGAGCTGACACTGTGTAGGTTTGAAGCTATCATAGTGATATACAGGGTGGAAACGATAAGTGATCTCACTCGATTATTTCTAAACTAAACAAGATAACAAAAAACTAGTTACTGATTCTAAGAGCTCTATCCAATGGTATCAATAATAGGTTACAGAATATACTGGATCTATCCAAAAATTCAATGTTCCTTCTTCCATACATTTATAGTCTATCCAATATAGCTTGATTAGAATGACGGCTGTCAAACGAATGTGACTAGTGATGGGTATGTTTCGTACGGTTCACATAGATGTATCGATAAGTTTTCGAAAAAATGATATAAAAAAATGCACCCAATTTTTCTTCATAATATCTTTATTCATAAAAATGACAATTATGATTTAAAGACAGTAAAATTTAAAATTCATGTCAAGGGTGTACAACCTAAGTCGTAGTCATTTTATCATCAGTGTTCTTCAGTGGTTTTTTCCTCTCGCTAGAGGGCGGTGGGCATCTCTTCTAGAGCAACGGTGCTATGTATACCCAAAAAATTACCGGTGATTGATTTCCGATGTTTGATTATTTAAGAATGAAATGTTTTTTGGTTTTTAATAGTGAACATTTAGAAAAACGTATAACTTGACTTAAATATGTTAAAAAATTAGTTAGAAAAAATTTTTGTTAAATATGTTTAAAAAATAGTTTTAATTTAATATGACATNTAGGTCTGGCGTTCACCATCACCAGCTCTTAGTCTACTTGTTCCGTGTCAAAGACAATTATAGTCAGCATTTCATTAAAACTCATTTATTTATGCAAGTAGACTTTATAAAGCACTTTTACACTCCACTCCGCAGTATTTCTCAAAAAACAGTATTAGTATTTTTCTGTGAACGATCACCAGTCCTTTTAAAATAACGTAAAGTTCTCATCTCAAATCTCATTAAACTTACGGATCTCATCATTCTCATCTCGCCGAGAAATCGTCGAACAAATCACTAGCGTTAAAATAAGATATCAATTTAATGTTTTAAACTTTCATGGACACTAACATAATTATTATTACTGACCCGCAAGTTCTCAGTTAATCCGTGACCATGGCGCTTGCAACAGCGCCGAAATATCGGAAACTCAAAATTAAGGTACAGTCACGGAATGAAAAGGTTCGTCAGTTTTCAAATTGATTCCTTCAACGAATCGCGAACACATATTACCTTTTGAAACTATGTTACAGAATAATCTCGAGTTAGAGAAAATAANTTAATTACAATTCTCAATCCGCAAATAATTTCTTCTTTCTACCGTGTTCGTACTACTATCCTCGTAAAATCTAGCTCTTAACTACTAACCATGTGTACTTAAGTATCTACTAACAAAACTCGATTGTCAACTGTAGTAGGGGAGACCTAGGAGAGTTGTGACAGAGGTGAGTTGTGACAAGGACGATTTCTCCTTACTTAATATAGTTAGGAAGCTGGTAAAAACGCTTGTTTGTCGCTTTTAAGACGATCTTCTTGACTAAGTACCTGCGGGTGGCGCTAGAGGTACGGTTACGTAAATATGACGTCTGTGTACAAAAAAATGCGAAAAGTAAGTTTTTCTTCAAAATTTTATTTCAATTTATATCATGTTTTAGTATATGTGCACTGTTCTGTTATTTTTTCTCAAGTTGCATGGTTATTCAGGTCTCGAAATGTAGCACTGGTCTTTTGTGTGCGCAGCGTGTATAGAAAATAAAAATTATTATTCGAACCAAGTCGTCATTTTAAACACCTAGGAGAGTTGTGACAGGCTGTCACAACTCTCCTAGCTTACTTAATTTTTCTGATGGGCCATTTCCACGATGTTTTCAGATGTTTTTTAGTAAGTTCATAATTTGTATAATTGCATGCTGTTACTGTTTTGATTCAGAATGCCTAATAACTATACATGAAAGCCATATAAAGGAACTGCTTGCTAGAGCCGAAATCTAGGACGTGGCTTATGAAGTGATTAGGTTAAAGAGTTAAAGTTTAAGATAATATGCTGCGACCTCTTACAATCTAAACTTGTCAAGATATATTAAGAAGAAAGAGGCTTTTATCAAGCAAACCAAGAAGGCGAAGCTCCGTCTATGGATTATACCACCGCGACTATTTTATTTTTACAGAAGAGGAAGAAATAATTATATTAAGTGACTATTATTAGTTAAAAATAAAATCTAGATTTACTAGTGTCGTGGGAGAAAAATGAAAGCTGGAGAAATGTGGCTCAATCTGTGTAACGACATCCTATAACACAGATAAAAGCTATTTGTGTTAATTAGTACTAAGGGATGATTAAAGTACTTTTTTGCTAAAAAATCATATTTGATTGAGTATAATAGTATTTTTATATCTAATAGATGAAATACAATGCTGTCACAACTCACCTCGGAACCTGTCACAACTTACCTCGGTGCTAGGAGAGTTGTGACAGAGGGAGTGATCTAAGAATTTGGTGATTTTCTTAAAAACCCTAATACTTTAGTTAACTTTGGTGATTGTTTTGAAAACAGAAGGAACGGCGCTTCATTAATTTGTATGATTCATAGCTGTGGAATGTTTTTTTACCGAGATATGGCCCCTAAAGTAAAAATTGTCACAACTCTCCTAGGTCTCCCCTATATACCTAATAAATAAATAAATAAAATAAATAAAATCATCGTAACCGATTGTTGTAATCGGATTACATGAACATCACTCGACCATGTATGTCCATTTGGACATATCGGAATGGCACGCTTTGACGATCAACTTGCTGTATCTACTCTAATCCATATCTGTGCTTCCCACTCACCTTCAGATCTTCAGTCCAGTTCTCGTGCTGTGCGCTCAAGTTAGCAAGTGCCTTCATCTTCTTCACGATGACGTCATACGCGCGCTGTTGCTTCGCTATGTACTCGCCGCGGAGTTTCATCGTCACTTGGGTTAAGAACTGAAAAAGTAAAATGCATGCATCATATTATCTTTAATTCTTTAACAGCCTAATCCCCGTTTTCATTATCAATCCTTAATTTTGAAGTGATCTATGAAAACTAAATTCCTGTTATGTTACCATAGGGGTCACTTAAAAATTAGGGATTGATGGTGAAAACGGGCATAAGCCTCCCCCAAGGCTTTCCATAACGACCGGTCCTACGCTGCCGGCATCCAGGTTCTTCTCGCGACCTTTACCAGATCGTCGGTCCACCTAGTAGGAGGCCTGCCCACGCTACGTCTTCCAGCCCGTGGTCGCCACTCGAGAACTTTCCTGTCCCAACGGCCATCGTCTCTACGAGCTATATGCCCCGCCCACTGCCACTTGATTTTAGCAATTCTGCGAGCTATGTCAGTTACTTTGGTTCTCCTGCTGATCTCCTCATTTCTGATGGGTATTTTATTAGACCCAAAATATACCCTAGGGCCGTAGCCAGAGTAAAATTTTATAGGGCAGTAGTAATTTCCAGTAGGGTAGCAAAAAACGTCATCATCAAAAAAATTTGTAGGTTTAATAATCAAAATCAAAAATATTTATTCAGTTTAGACCACAAGTGGCACTTATAAAGTACTAGCTTTCCGCCCGCGGCTTCGCCCGCGTGGAATTTTGTCTGTCACAGAAAAACTTTATCGCGCGCGTCCCTGTTTCAAAAACCGGGATAAAAACTATCCTATGTTCTTTCCCGGGACTCAAACTATCTCTATGCCAAATTTCATCAAAATCGGTTGCGAGGTTTAAGCGGGAAAGCGTAACAGACAGACAGACAGACAGACAGAGTTACTTTCGCATTTATAATATTAGTTGGGATGGGATGGTTTACCTCCAAAGTTTCCTTCAGGGACGGTTCTTCAGATTTGTCCATATTCAGGACAGGTTGAGAGACGTTTTTGGCCAGAATCTCTTGGATTATCGCGGTGAACGTCATCTTTTGCCTCTGAAATTAGAAATAATATTATACTTTATTGCACACCACTCAAACAGACACAGAAAACGGCACAAGTCTAATGCTAGGTTGCACCATCTTACTTTAACTTTGACAAACGTCAAAAATCTGTCAAACAGCATACAAAAAATACCGGTTATTTTTATAGTTACGGTCAAAGTTAGATGGTGCAATTCAGCCTAAGAATAGGTTTATTTATTTATTTACGTACAGCAACAGAATACAAATTACATCTTACATCTTACTTTAACATATCAAACGTCAAACGTCTGTCAAACTCCATACAAAAACTGAGGTGGAGCAACTCAGCCTAAATTTTTTGAAAACTGGCATTTACCTCGTGCAGCATTGCGTTGAATTCATCTCGACCTAGCGACGGGGTCTTCGTTTGTAAGTGTTGGTATAGATGCTCTTCTACGATGTATGGCTCCAACCATCTGAAAAAAAACTCTCAATGAGGGCTATCGTTTTAGCGCTCACCAGTTAGCGCCACTGTAGAGTAAGGTCCTGTCACTTGCTAGTAGCGAAGACAGTGGCACCAACTGGTGAGCGCGAAAGTGGTACGAGGACTATCGCATTTGCACTCATCAAGATGGCGCCACTGTAGAGTAAGGTCCTGTCAATCGCCAGGGGTGCCAACTGTTAAGTATAAAAACGATAGCCCTCATTACGTAACAGAAGTGCCAATTTCGGTTCGTTTTTGAATATTTACTCCATAGATAAAATACTAAAATAATGCCGGTGCTGGATTATGTATGTATTTTCGTCATAGGTACAAAAGAGTCAAAAATATTTGAGGATTGATAAAATGGTAAACAAATGACAAACATCTGGCCGTCAAAGCACAACACATTGAACAGCGGTAGCGGTGAAGTTTTGAGCGAAAATTTTGACACAAAAGTGGTGTGTGAGTGTGTGTGGTGAGTGAGTGGTGTGTGTGTTGTGTGAGTGGTGTGTGTGGTGTGAGTGGTGTGTGTGTTGTGTGAGTGGTGAGTGTGTGTGTGTGTATGAGTGAGTTTTAGGTATAAAAGTTATAAAAATATTCGGTGAATGACAAGATGGCCGCGGATTAATCTCACGTGACAATAAGGATCGTTAAGATGGCCGCCGATTAGTTTCCCACCTGACGAACATCTGGCCGTCAGAGCACAGCACATTGAGCAGCGGCAGCGGTGAAGTATTGAGCGTGAGGCCGCAAGGTGGACTGACGGCTCCGCGCGGGCCAACAGTGCAGACCAGATGCCGCGCCGAACTCGGCTTTGAGCATAGCGCGGAGAGAACTGTCTCGGATTCCTCTGTAATATAGAAATTCTTTATTGGTTTCACATCACATCATAGACTTTATAGCGAAGCGCGTAAGTGAAGGATCCCTTTAGACTAAGAGCTGGTGAACGCCAGACCTACGTCATTTTATAAAAGCTGAAAGTTTGTCAGCGTATGCTCCCAATATAGGATATAATGTTGGTGAATCATGAAGTTTGGGTCATCGTGGCTTTGGCAGTTATCCTAAAAAATCTGTCTGGCAAGGAGTTGGAATTGTCAAAACTGTCTGGTCTGTCATCCACCAAGTCGAGCAAAAAAGCGGCACGGCCGTACCATCCTTTTCTCGAAGCAATTCAGGCCATTTTCGACCGCCTGTAACTTCGTTGTGGATAAAACTAGAAGACTGAATTTTCAGTAACCATGCAGGCATTGTAAAGACACGGTATATTTCAAATATCATTCAATTTGAACTAGTAGTTTAAGAATTATAACGGGTCAAAGTTTCTTAATTTTGTCACTCACTGACTGACTCACCGATCATCAAAACTCTAAGGCACTTCAAGCAGACCTAGAAGCTTCAAATTTGGAATATAAGTAGTATTTGGTGTATATGAATCAAGGAAAAACTGAAATATTTGGGGGCACGGTAGTGCAACCGCCAAGTCGAGTAAAATTTTTCAATATCGGTCCAGTTTTTTAGATACATAACTGCTGTCTACAAAATACAAAAAGAAATGAGATCCCATCAAAAACAATACTTGTCAAAAAAACCAAGTCTCGCAACTCAGTTGTTCTACGGTAAAAAGTTGTGAACTCAAAATTAAGGTACATGGTACCAATCCCGTCAGTAATAATAATTAAGTTATCAATTTATTATTTTATTTTTAGGATTATGGCTGTGATGATGAGGATATCAATTTATCACCTTCATTAGCCTGAGCGTAATCCTTCAGGCTGTCCATGATAGGCAGCGAGATTGTGTGCACGCCCGCCGCGTGGATGCACGCGTATACGTTGTTTGTGCACTGGAAAATAAATGACAAAACATCTATATATATAAAAGAAAGTCGTGTTAGTTACTTCGCTTATAACTCAAGAACGGCTGAACCGATTTATCTGAAAATTGTCCGGGAGGTAGTTTAGAGCCAGGAGAAGGACATAGGATACTTTTTATCCCGTTCGAAATTAAAAAAAAGTCTGCTTATTTATTGCCATTAAGGCGGAACAAAGTTCGCCGGGTCAGCTAGTTCAAAATAAAAATCAAAAATATTTATTTAATTTAGACCACAAGTGGCACTTATGAACGTCAAAATATAGTAAGTAAATAAAAAAAAGGTAGCCCTTATGGGGCACTCTACATCTTTTAGGCCCTACCAGCGCTTCGAGACAAACATATTATGGCAAGTGCTGAGAAGAAACGTTATTAGGTATAACATTAAGACATTTAGCTTTTGTTGTTAGATCATTGAAACTGAAATCTTTCTGATTCAAGTTGTTTGTGCAATATGTCACAGTACTCGTATTGTTGGTATGCCTTTATCAATACAGGTCTCTCCAAATGATTTTCAGATTGGTCGGTTGGTAGCGGTCTGCGCCTCTCTCATGCGGTCGTAGCTTCGCCTGTCGGCGGCTGGAAGGGACACATCTTCACCGGGTACAAGTGTACAGGGTACAGGCTGGAAGGGTACACATGCTGATCGGGTACAAGTGCACAGGGTACAGGCTGGAAGGGTACACATGCTTACCGGGTACAAGTGCATAGGGTACAAGCTGGAAGGGTACACAATACACATGCTCACCGGGTACAAGTGCGTCTGTCGGCAGCTGGAAGGGCACGCTTCCTCACCGGGTACAAGTGCATAGGGTACAAGCTGGAAGGGTACACATGCTCACCGGGTACAAGTGCGTCTGTCGGCAGCTGGAAGGGCACGCTTCCTCACCGGGTACAAGTGCATAGGATACAGGCTGGAAGGGTACACATGCTCATCGGGTACAAGTGCATAGGGAACAGGCTGGAAGGGGACACATGCTCACCGGGTACAAGTATAGAGGGTACAAGCTGGAAGGGTACACATGCTCACCGGGTACAAGTGCACAGGGTACAGGCTTGAAGGGCACACATGCTCACCGGGTACAAGTGCACAGGCTACGAGTACTGTATAGGGCATGCAAACCGGTTAACCGGATAACCGAAAAACCGGATAACCGACACAATTTAGAACTCGGTTTTTGTCAGTTATAAAACCGGGTTTTTCGGTTATTTCGGTTTTTCTTCTACGATTTTAGATAATTTAATAACTCATACAAGAACATGCTTCTTTAGTCATATCAATAAAAACAATTATTGTAATGCAATGTGAATGAGTAGAGTTATAGTCTATGACTATGGTATTGATTGAACTAAAGTACCATGTATCTTCTAGCTAAAGCTACACTTGCGAGCAAAAGTATGGAATCACTTACATGAAGTTGTTTCCACGCGATCTTGTGTACTAACCAATTTGTTAGTAACAAAAAAAGTAGCACCATTTTAAAGATTAAACTTTTAACTTTAAATTGATACCAAATTCATTTAAATCACACCAGTATTTAAAAAGATATTCCGGCTGATGTGAAGAAGTAAGGAAAAAGACATGTNTTGATGATGTTGGCAATACACGTCGAGGTCGACTTGATTTGTGCCATTTTCCAGTATATAAGTGATACGAGTTACAAAATGAGATCAAGTAATGATATAATGAAGGATGATAGATGATACCCTTTCCCACCCTTTGAGTCTCAGTAAAGTTGTGGTGCTTTACTGAGACCTCCTATGGACAACTTGAGAGAACCAGAAGAATCACGATGCACTGTTTTGCTTCACTTGCCCACACCCATGGACGTTCACGAACACTCAATGGTTAATAATCCACCATTATTACACATAAATAGTCGCCCACACACGAATTTGAGGAAATAAAACAAAATCTTGTCAAACTAGAATATAAAAGAAATAAAATGATTTTTATTATAATTTGCAGCATTTTTATTTACTTACAAACAGTCGCCCCAAAAAACCCGAAAAACCCGAAAAAACCGGTTTAGTTCGGTTTTTAAAAATAAAAACCGAAAAAACCGGTTTTTCTAAACCGCTCGGTTTTTGCATGCCCTAGTACTGTAGCTCGGCGTCGGCCGTCAGCACCATGTTCAGCTCTACTGCTCTTGTCACATAGAGAGCGTGACTGTCGCTTTCGTCTGTCGGTGGCTGGAAGGTTACAAATCCTCACCGGGGACAAGTGCACGGGGTACACATGCTCATCGGGTACAAGTGCACAGAGTACAGGCTGGAAGGGTACACATGCTCACCGGGTACAAGTGCACAGGGTACGAGTACTCCAATTCGGCGTCGCCCGTCAGCACCATGTTCAGCTCTACTGCTTCTATCACGTAGAGAGCGTGACTGTCGCCTTCGTCTCGCTCGGTGGGCTGGAATAATAAAAGCAATATTAAAGGTATTGACTATAATACAGGCTCGGCCTAGATTAGGTACTATATTGTGTACCACTTAATGTCACCTAAAAAAAGTCCCTAGTTTTAGTGGTCAATGCTGGCCGTCGGCACCGACACATGCCATCATTACCCGTTCAGCACTACTATTAACGCTCGTTTTTCTATGACGCCCGACCTTGAATGGACGTACGAGTGATATTGTCGGTGTTGACGGTAGTCAGCAAAAATGTTCACCGTTTGTTTTTTGTTTCTGGGAGAAGGCTGGGAGAAGGCCACAAGTGGCTATAAAGACACGGCCACTAGAACCACTCACGTGGGGTAGCAGAAGGCAGTGGTACAAGGCAGCGGAGCAGGTAGCTACCGCCACTACAGGCGGCGCGTCGGGGCTGCCCAGCGCTATGATGGAGCACGAGTCGGTGCCGTAATTGTCGTCTGCTGGAGGATACATAGCTAAGGAACCGGTGATCTTCAGCTGTTTAGAGCTGGGAATACACATAGCACTCACGTGGGGCAGCAGCAGACAGTGGTACAGCGCAGCGGAGCACGTGGCTACAGGTGGCGCGTCGGGGCTGTTAGCGCCACTGTAGAGTCGTATAGTGGCTGGGGGGAGAAGGCCACTACAGTGGCTATAGGGACACGGCCACTAGAACCACTCACGTGGGGCAGCAGGAGGCAGTGATAGAGCGCAGCAGAGCACGTGGCTACAGGCGACGCGTCGGGGCTGTTAGCGCCACTGTAGAGTCATGTAGTAGCTGAAGGAACAAGGCCATTACAGTGGCTATAAAGACACGGCCACTAGAGCCACTCACGTGGGGCAGCAGGAGGCAGTGGTACAAGGCAGCCGAGCACGTGGCCACCACCACTACAGGCGGTGCGTCGGGGCTCCCCAGCGCTATGATGGAGCACGAGTCGGTGCCGTAGTTGTCGTCTGCTGGAGGGTACATAGCTAAGGGATCGGTGATCTTAAGCTGGTTGGAGCTGAAAATACACATTCACTCACATGAGGCAGCAGGAGGCAGTGGTACAGCGCAGTCGAGCACGTGGCTACAGGCGGCGCGTCGGGGCTGTTAGCGCCACTGTAGAGTCGTGTAGTGGCTGGGGGGAGAAGGCCATTACAGTGGCTATAAAGACACGGCCACTAGAANGTACTGTAGCTCGGCGTCGGCCGTCAGCACCATGTTCAGCTCTACTGCTCTTGTCACATAGAGAGCGTGACTGTCGCTTTCGTCTGTCGGTGGCTGGAAGGTTACAAATCCTCACCGGGAACAAGTGCACGGGGTACACATGCTCATCGGGTACAAGTGCACAGAGTACAGGCTGGAAGGGTACACATGCTCACCGGGTACAAGTGCACAGGGTACGAGTACTCCAATTCGGCGTCGCCCGTCAGCACCATGTTCAGCTCTACTGCTTCTATCACGTAGAGAGCGTGACTGTCGCCTTCGTCTCGCTCGGTGGGCTGGAATAATAAAAGCAATTTTAAAGGTATTGACTATAATACAGGCTCGGCCTAGTTTAGGTACTAGTATATTGTGTACCACTTAATGTCACCTAAAAAAAGTCCCTAGTTTTAGTGGTCAATGCTGGCCGTCGGCACCGACACATGCCATCATTACCCGTTCAGCACTACTATTAACGCTCGTTTTTCTATGACGCCCGACCGCTGCTCCGTTGAATGGACGCACGAGTGATATTGTCGGTGTTGACGGTAGTCAGCAAAAATGTTCACCGTTTGTTTTTTGTTTCTGTATTAGTTAAGGTATACAAGTGTAAATGTTAATGTGTGTTTTAAATTCAATAAATTATTTGTTGTTGTTGTTGACTAGCTTTCGTCACCCGCTAGCGGACTACAAAAGTCAAGACTGCGACACTGGCTGCTTCGGGCTTCGCCCTACGCGGCGTTTAGCCTACTGCCTCGCATTCGAAGGGCAGTCTTCGGTCTCGCAAAAATTACACGGGGCAGGACACAGACAGGGCTCTTGTGCTTTTTTGATGTTTTAATTGTAATCTGTGGTAATTAATGAAATTGCCTTCGACCTCGCCATTTTATTTGTCACAGCGCTCTAGTGCTTCTTTATGCATTAAAAATTAATCTATGGCGATACTTGGGATTTTATCTATCGCTTGGCCTTCGGCTTCGCCTTTTTTTGCGTCGGCAAAACGTTAAATAAGCCGTTTTGCAAACAATTTTTATGGAGAATTTGGTACTAGTACGAAAATTATTCACAGCTTGACGGTAATCTTGGAATCACGTCGGGGCTGCCCAGCGCTATGATGGAGCACGAGTCGGTGCCGTAGTTGTCGTCTGCTGGAGGATACATGGCTAGTGGTCCGATGATCTTAAGCTGTTTGGAGCTGGGAATACACATAGNACTAGAACCACTCACGTGGGGCAGCAGGAGGCAGTGGTACAGCGCAGCGGAGCACGTTGCTACCACCACTACAGGCGGCGCGTCGGGGCTGCCCAGCGCTATGATGGAGCACGAGTCGGTGCCGTAGTTGTCGTCTGCTGGAGGATACATGGCTAGGGGACCGGTGATCTTTGGCTGGTTGGAGCTGGAAATATACAGAGTTATTTATAGAATTCACAGAAATAAATAACCGCTAAGTTTCGGCAGAGTAGAATGGGACCACTCCCACTCTTTCCGAGAATGTTGATTAAGGGATAAATATGCAAACATCTAGGACTGCCCAATCCATATGGGTTGGCCATATGGCCAGCGTGGTGAGTATAGGCCAGAGTCTCCATTTGCCTCTGGTAAATTAGAGACGGTCAAACACCCAGCGTTTTCCTGCTACCTTAATGAGATCGTCTGACTACCTTGGGGGTGGATGTCCCACGCTGCGTGTTTCTGTACGTGGCCACTCCAAAACCTTGCTGCCTCATCGGCCGTCAGTTCTGCGGACTTTGTGCTCTGTCCATTGCCACTTCAGCTTGCTAATCCGTCGGGTTATGTCAGTGACTGGTTCGTTTACGGATCTCCTCATTCCTGATTCTAGCTGAGAATGGTATAGATAGACGCAGAACCTACCTCATTGCTTCTATGTCGCACGGCATCATGTACACATCGCCGTTTCCCCTCAGTATGAGGATATGCTCAGAGTCAGGAGTAGGGGTGAAGTCCACGGCCGTATCCCCTAGGCTGTCTAGGAAGGTCCGGCCAGCTAACAGGCCGTGGGGCTTCGGCCCTATGGTGATCACTTTGACCAGCTTAGGACCCGTCTTCACTGCTACGTTGTAGAGCCTGGAAAATGTTTGTGGTATTTTAAGTTAATCTGTATTAGACAGACTTGGAAATATAGCACTTGATACCTTTACTTGCAATTACTTGTACTACCAGAATAAATAAAACTTTATCTTGTGTCATCCATGTGGAATTCCCTGTCTTTGTCCTATCAAGACACGAATTATCAACTATCTTCATCGGGTCTATGATTGATGATATAATGCTTCGGGACAATAATGTGAGACAATGCTGAGAAGAAACAGCGCAACAAACTCAGTCACTTGGTCAGCTTCTTAATCAAGTCCCATTAGAACCGTTAGTTTTACGCAATAAATTCAGAAATAAAAAACATAACAGATAATGCCCATAATGCATTAAATATCCTATTGTATACCTATTTATCTGATGCTAAAGAATAATAAATAAACTTTGACTCACCTCAAAGTATTATCGGAGACCAACACAAGAAGCCGTGACAGCGATGTGGGATGCCACTGGACACTCCGCACCTCCGTCTGCGAGTACAGGAACCTCTCGTCAAGCGTGGCACTCCTGGAAAGACAAGAGGGTAACTTGAAATAAAGGTATAACCATCACTGGTTATTTAGGTGGGAAAGCCAGAATCTACCCTGGTCACAGAGCTTGGTTCTGATTTGTAGCATTTTCCCGATCAAACCGTATTGTTCTTCTTAGCGTATCATCATCATCATCTTTTCAGCCACAGGACGTCCACTGCTGAATATAGGACTCCTCCCCCATGCTTTCCACGTCGATCGATTGGTAGCGACCTGCGTCCAGCGCCTCCCCCCCGCTACCTTTACGATTTCGTCGGTACACCTTTTAGCGTATCAAGCTCCATACAATCTGGAGTGCAATAAAAGCATCCACAATATCTACTCCGGTCTAGTATGGCAACGTTATTATTTCAGCTCTCGTCGATCAAACAGATTTTCATTTGATTTGGAAATGTTGATTTGTGCGACAAACGGTAAGGTGAGATCTTTCTCCAAAGTTTCCATGAAATTAGTCCACCTTTTACGATAAACGTAACAGTAACAGACAGATAAATGATTCTAGATGTAAAAGTAACTCTGGAATCTGGATTTACTTTCGCATTTATTAAATCAGCATAAATTAATACCACTGACACATAAAAGACACTGCGCCGCAACATTTACAGTGCAATCCAATTAAGCCATCAAGTATGCAGGCCGATACGCGTCAAACGGAGCCCGCGAGACTTCACACTCCGCATTACTGACCGTTCTGACTCGCGAGTATAACAATTACCCAACTATCTTCAGTGGATAAAATATGAATTCATTTTGAGTATCAGTATCGTTCGTTTCAGCTAAATGACGTGCAATGCTGGAATAAGGCCTCCCCCGAGGTTTACGTCCTAATAACTTTAAATTGATTTGATGAAGAACCTTACTCAATACTATTTTACTTTGCTCATTTGTTTTTTTATCATATTAAACTAAAACACTTTAAGAGCGTATGAGATACTTAAATTACGCTAACTGATGTTAATGTCACTGATGAACTAGAAATTGTTACGCTGATTAAAATCGAGGCACATCAAATCAATTCAAACCGGTCGCGTAATTGCGTCATCGCATATCAGCAGTTTAGTATTATTGTCAGTTGAGTGATAGTTATTGCATTACCCGTCGAATTAGCGCGCCGTAGCCCGGAATGCGATTAGCGACTGGACGCTGGGCGCTGTTGTCTGATATAGCGCTGGTGGCTTTAGGAAATGAGCGGCCCCAAATTATTATTTCTTAAGGTCAGTTACATAATATCGATACACACTGATAACTTTAAGAAGCATTGAAAATTATTTGCATTATTTATTTAAGGCATAAGTATTAAGCAAAGCGTTTCAAAATAATAATTAAATATTTTGCGAAACGTGCTCTAAAACATGTCTAACATTTATGACAGATTTGTATTGGTGTTTTAAAGCTTTAATGCGTCAGTTAGATATGAGAGCCCATCAAACACTAAAAACATCTATCCTTATTTCTTAGGGAAAGAATAAGTACAGTCTTATTCTTATTGATCAAAATGAAATTAAATCGAAAAAAAAATGTTCAAGGAAATAAAATAAAGAAAATTAAAAAAAAAAATAACAGGGTGATTCCTGTTCATTGGTCATTAAAATATGAACCGGAAAATAAGAAAAAAATTTAACACCCCAGACAAACGGTCGTCCATCCCTAAAATCGGTTGAAAACAAAAGAAAACTGGAAACACACATCCAAAACCGCATCCCGAGCGATTAATTCTTCCCGCAAAAAACCAAACCTGCGTAATCAAATTATTATCTAAGGGCGAGCGGATCTTTGCCGTATTTATCAGCCGTAATGGATGCCCGGTTTTTACCGATGATAATGGGTTATATTCTAAAAACCACCTGCCCCCGGGGCGGGTTCACTTCCTTGCTGGTATCGCGGGTGGCTTTTTTTCATAATTTTTCAGTTATGCCCGTGTGTGCTTTGTTACGCGGATGCGTATGCTGATGACGGGCAGACAAAACCATGTAACGTGGACTGTGTAATACTAATGTGATCCATTCGGATATCAATTTAAGGGTTGGTTGATTTTCTATGCACAAAAACAGTAACAATTAGATGGTGTTTTCTTCAATCCTTTAACTGCAACTTGGTTGGTTCGCCTTGACGCTATCGTCGGGTATAGCTTACCTTACCTGTTGGCAACATTAGAGCAATATCTTTGAAACTAAAAACCCAGGATGGTTATTAAACCACGAACTCTTTCGAATTATTTAGGAACTTTACCTAAACAAAAAATTGGGAAATTAGTTTGGAAAGACTTAGGGCCTCGTTCACCATCTCCGAGTAAAGTGTCAAGAAAGTCACGAGTACCTACTACTCGTACTTATCGAATTTCACTATATTTGAATAACGCTAAAATACTTCTTATTTTACTTGCTAAGGAATCAGGAAGTAACTAATTGGAGATGGCGAAAGATGCCATTATTTTACAATTGTCAAAAAATCGAGCTGGTGGGTTAAGGTTTCTTCTGAAATTCCCTGAACTAATAAAAAAATTAAAAATAGGTCCAGCTCAGCTGACCAACGTTCCTGAATTCCTGATATATGTCGACGTTTCAATCCAGAATTGTGGCAGCGAATTAGCGGCCGCGATGTAAACTCGATCCGGCTCAACGCGATTAGCCCCGATTGCATGCGGAATGTGCACGCCGAATTCGTTATCTACCCTACTGAATTAAGGTCACTTGCATTACACTTATTGAAACTAATGAAGGACATTGGATTTTGTTTTTAATAGGAACAGTCCCGAATTGGTTTTCTTGGTAAAGTTTTTGTCATCTGCAGTCACGATTTGATCAAAAATTGTAGAGTTTTGTGATCATGAATATAGATATATTTTTTAGTATAGTCTTTGTCACTTTGTTGTCACGTTGAATAGGGATGTATTATTAGTTTTTGACTTGTCAGTTTATAAGATTAAAAGTAATAAAAATATATTTTTAATGATATTTTGCGGCATGTTACATTTTGGTGGCTAACTCTATGAGCTGCCTCAAGCATAAGATTGTAAAAAGAAAGACAACAATTACGGAATTAGATGAGATGTCTACTTGTTGTAGNCAAAAACAGTAACTAATTGTTACTGTTTTGGTGTTTTCTTCAATCCTTTAACTGCAACTTGGTTGGTTTGCCTTGACGCTATCGTCGGGTATACCTTACCTTACCTGTTGGCAACATTAGAGCAATATCTTTGAAACTAAAAACCCAGGATGGTTATTAAACCACGAACTCTTTCGAATTATTTAGGAACTTTACCTAAACAAAAAATTGGGAAATTAGTTTGGAAAGACTTAGGGCCTCGTTCACCATCTCCGAGTAAAGTGTCAAGAAAGTCACGAGTACTACTCGTACTTATCGAATTTCACTATATTTGAATAACGCCAAAATAGTTCTTATTTTACTTGCTAAGTAGTAGTAATCAGGAAGTAACTAATTGGAACTTTACTCGGAGATGGCGCAAGATGCCATTATTTTACAATTTTCAAAAAATCGATCTGGTGGAATAGGGTTTCTTGGATTCTTCTAACATTTATTGTCCTGAAGCAGTGGTAGGGTTAATACTGGGACGTGTAAAAGTGCTTTTTTTAAGCCTATTTACAGAAATAAATGAGTTTTATGAGTTTTTATTCCTTAAACTAATAAAAAAATCAAAAATACGTCCAGCTCAGCTGACCAACGTTCCTGAATTCCTGATATACGTCGACGATTCAATCCAGAATTGGGGCAGCGAATTAGCGGCCGCGATGTAAACTCGATCCGGCTCAACGCGATTAGCCCCGATTGCATGCGGAATGTGCACGCCGAATTCGTTATCTACCCTACTGAATTAAGGTCACTTGCATTACACTTATTGTTGAAACTAATGAAGGACATTGGATTTTGTTTTTAATTGGGACTGTCCCGAATTGTTTTTTTTTGTTAAGTTTTTGCCATCTGCAGTCACGATTTGATCAAAGATTGCAGAATAGGGATGATGACTTGGTAATGAAATAGAATTTTATTTAGTCCGTCAGACAGAGAATAAGAAAATATTAGACTCATATTTTTTATTTTTTTCCATAATCGAATAATTACAGTATTATATTGAGTTGAAATGTCGCGTGACGTCACTTTTGAGTAAAAACTACTCGTATCGCGCCATTTCAACTCGATGTAGCACTGTTATTATTTAATTATGAAAGAAAATAAAAAATATGAGTCGAATATTTTCTAATTATCTGTCTGACGGACAAATAATTGAAATTTTGTCATCTAGCCTATTTTGTGTTCATGAATATTAATATTGTTTTTAGTATAGTGTTTGCCATTTTGTTATAGGGATGTATTATTTGTTCTTGACTTGTCAGTTTATAAGATTTAAGTAATAAACATATATTTTTAATGCTATTTTGCGGCATGTTACATTTTGGTAGCTAACTCTATGAGTCGCCTCAAGCATAAGATGAGAAAGATTACGGAATTAGATTAGATGTCTAGTTGTTGTTGTGGCCAAATAAATCCAGTTTTGTTCACGTCTCACCTCAAAAAATACATGTGCCTATGTAAATGCTCGGTGTTATCCATTAAAACGATGCATAAATCACTCTTAAAGAGCCGGTCATCCCACGGACGAAAAAGGCATCCCAAAATAAAATTACAAATGGGCATTAGAGGCGACTCCACTGTCTCCGGAACAAAACCGATAAAAAACGTTCCGATCCGGTAAAAAATAAGAATCAGACAAAGCCGGGCGCCGGCCGCAACCTCTATACGTGTCCAGTTTTTTTACGACCCGCCCTTTTGTCCTTCCGGGCCTCTTTTTTAAATAGATCAGGGGGGAAGTAAAGACCGGACGTCCACCCTGAAATATTATTGTGGATTTTTCTGCTTGGCATTCATAAATATCTCCCTCGGACCCCTGGTCAGGATTTACTCGAATCGGCGCAGAATTATAAATTTGGTTAATAAAATATGATACGATAAAGCCGCTTT